TAAGGAGTCTCCGAGAACATACTCCGCACAAAGATCACAATAGTCTCCGAGCACATAAGCCACACAGAGATAACCATACACTCCGGGCACATAAGCCGCGTAGAGATAGTAATATCAAGTCATATAACGTGCACCCAGTACACATGGGAATTCATATTTATAACATATTCGTATATAACGACCAAATGTGTACCCAGTACACTCTAGATCACACATGAACCCAGTCCATTGGGTGTCTGTATCATATCCGTATACAACGGCAAGATGTGTACCCAGTACACTCCAGATCACACATGGACCCAATCCATTTGGCATCTGTATCATATCCGTATATAACGACAAAATGTGTTTGGTATATTCACATGGGGCTACCCCCAATAATAATAGTAGTAGTGGTATAATATAAACATATTACATATAGGTAAATTCATTATAACTTCCTCATTTAATTCTTTCCACCGATAGTTTACTTTCATTTTGGTTAAACCTCTTACCTGGTTTATCACATAGTCACTATTACAAGACTTCATATTCTCCTCATAATTTTGTACATATTTCCTAACTCTTAATAGTTCCTTCTATCATGTTACAGTTCAAATCCACTGTCCATTAATTCTTGTTCGTTACTTCCCTTGGTGGTTGTAGAATATCCATTACGTTTAAAACATCATCACTCTGTTTATCAATTGTTCAATACGTTACGAGGAATGCCATCATTTACTGGTTCACGCGATCCGCACACAGAGGCCATCCAATGAGTTCCACTTCAAACAATGTCCACCTGGGACTTCCAAGAGTCGTACCTCTTAGGATCCAATCCCCAAAGGGAAGTCCAGAGCAATTTCACGGTCACGACATCTGCATACCCGCACTCAGGTCCACCCGAGGTATATATATATACTGGCACTTACGCCATCACAGGACCATTGTCATTTATCCTTTCAAGATGTAGACTGATGATAACTCTCCGAAAGAGAGTTATTTTTGGACTTAATTGTGATATTTTGGTACCATGATTGCATATAATTCTCTTGATTTTATATGATTAATGCATGAATTCTATGATTTCATGATTTAATTCAGAATTATGTTAATTATGTGTATTTGGATATAAATGAGCATTGGAAACATTTAAATGCACTTGTTATTTTACTGCAGGTCAATGCTGTAGCATCGGAAAGCGGTGTTGTAGCAGTGCAGATGAGGTCAGCAATGCATCATCACCAGCAAGCTATGGATCCAAGCCCAATTAGCTAGAAGAAGTTTCTGAACGTGTAATCAGAGTCCTGAGCTGGCTACGCGCTTTAAAACATTCAAAGGATCACCATTAATAAAGCTAGTTCAATGTTTAGCTTATTAATAATATCACTACTTTTGCATCGAAATTGTTAAGTCTATTAATAATACCACTACTTTCTGCATCGGAAAATGTTAAGCCTATTAAATTTAATAATGCGAAAAGTGTGTGTCATTTTAAAGGATATAAAATGTGTCATTTTAAGAGAGAGAAAGAGATAGATAAAGGAGGAGAGAGAGTTGACAAAAAAAATAAAGGTGTAGGTCACACCTCTTTGTGAGAATGAAAGGATGTAAATTGTGTCATTTAAAAGGATAAACATTTTTTCCATTAATAATATTTATTATTATGTCTATTAAGATTGATTTTTTGGGTCTATAAATGAACCAATGATTATTAGGATTAATAATACCAATTTTGTAATGTATAAGCAATTAAAATTTGGAGAAAGAGAAATACAAATTTTTTAATTGAAAGTATAATCGATTAAGATTTTCGGAGAATAAGAAGTTTTCATATGAAAAGTACACTTTTTTAATTGAAAGTACATGCTAAAATAAAATGCTGAAAATTAGAGGTGGCAAAATAGGCTTAGCCCGGAGGGCCGACCCACCCTACCAGCCAAACGGGCGGGTTATCCCGCTAACACATTTTTTCTGTATATTTACTATATAACAAACCTGTTTTTGTGTGGCTAAGATCATTGGATTTACTGCTGATATATAAATGTTGACAGTTAGAGGTGGCAAAATGGGCTCGGCCTAGAGGGCCAGCCAACCTTGCATGTTAACGCATTTTTTTCTTTATATTTATGTCTAACAAATCCGTCTTTGTGTGGCTAAAATCATTGGATTTACTGTTGATATAAAATGCTGGTAATTAGATGTGGCAAAATGGGCTCGGCCTAGAGGGCCGGCCCACCCCGCCCGCCAACACGTCCCCCCCCCCCCCCCCCCCTCCCCCCTCCCCCTTACTGTAAATATTTCAGAAACAAGCATCAAATAAAATAAACAATCAGATTGTGATAAATGAAAATCCGTCTCTAAGAAATACTAAAAAAAAGCCGAGTCAAACTACGCAATTTATGAATGATTACATGGCAAGCTAATACAATGGCACCTACTAACTCAAATATTTGCCAACTCTACATATACAAAAAGCTAGAGTTACGTACCTCATAGTATTGATTTACAATTTGCTTTAACTTTTACAGAACAAACAAATTAATTTTTTTTTTCGGTACATCACACTAGTAATACTCTAGTTCCAACATAAGCAAAGTCAATTGACTCAATTCATTTTATTTCTTTCTTTTTATTCTTCGGCTCTCTTCATAAAAGTTAGAACGAATTATTATTATTAATGCAAAAAATAGAATTTAGATTCCAATAAAAATATTATTTGGAGAATTTCAATTATCCGAACAACTGAACAAGTACAATAGCATAAATTTAATTCTCTCCTCATTTGTGTAACTGGATTAGGGGAACCGCATATGGAATAATGTTTGCTAAAAATTGTGAAATTAATAACACTAACACAAGCGAATTTTAAAATGCAAAATCTCACATTCGAGTAGTAAAAAAACCAATGGATTGTAGTCCACCACAATCCACATTATAAATGAGGGAAAAAAAAAATATTTTTCATTTTAAAGGATATAACTTTGTGTTATTTTAGATCTTAACTATTGATTTGCATTAATCAACGTTATAATTTATCAAATCTAATTATATAATAAATTAGTAATTCGCAATAAATTATAACCATTGATTGACGAAAATCAACGCTTAGAATCTAAAATGACACAAAACTATATCCTTTAAAAGGACAAACATTTTTTTCATAAATTATTCATGATATTTTCTAATTAATATTAGAATTAATGTTAAAATTAATTAAGATTTTCAATAAGAAATTAGAAAATATGTATATTTTTGGTGCCAAATAAATGTGTCTTCTCAATGCCAAATGGGTTCCTTACTTTTTAGGGTTTCAATATAATCATTGTAAATTAGTGACATGACATGATAATTGTATTATGTATTTCAGATTGATCCTACCCTGATTAGTGTTTTGGTCGAGAGGTAGAGACCAGAGACACATACATTTCACATGACACACGACGAGATGACTATCACCTTGTAGGATATTGCGGCTATATCGGGATTGCCAACTGGCGGGTAAGTCGTTACCGGATCTACCTCAGAGGACTGGCTGGCCGTGTGTGAGGTGATTTTTGGTGGTAGGCCTTTGGCCAGTGAGCTCCCCAGTGGCGATATACGTCTTTCGAACTTTGATCGGTTGTCTGGGAATTGGGGTCAAGTAGCTGGGGATCACCAGTGAGAGATTTTTTTCACAAAGGCGCACATTGCGCGCATGTTAGGAGCATGGCTCCTATTGGACAGACTAGGAGGTAACAACATTGGATGTTGCTTATTTCCATTGCTCGGAGGGGGGTTTGAGCAGATTGGGCAATAGTATTGACCCAGGCAAATTAGACATGGGTGGATGCCACATTCTTCTTCAGATATGGGTATGGATCAAATTCCCACCTATTGCTCCCCCTCCTAGTCAGCTCGGGATGCACTTTGGATGCCAGTATGTGTCTTTATGTTTTTCCTATTTCAATACTAATTGCGACTTTTGTAGTTAATTTATATCTTTAATTTGGAAATTAGGTTTAATGCTCTAGCAAGGTTCAAACCACATGAGATTGTACATTATCGGGCAACCCTAGACACGTTATGTACGGATGAGGTGTGTTATATAATTTTTATATTTCAAAAAGTGATTACGTACGGTAATGAATACTAAATGTATGTTATTTTTTTGTGTAAGTGGTTTGATAACCATACAGAGATTACGTATTCTTGGGTATATCTCCTCATGAGCAATAGTTGTGGTTGGCCAGGACACAAGTGATCGGATTGGATCAACCAAATTTTATCCATTTTACCTACACTCAAAAATGTGTAAAAGAAACCTCGTAAGAAAACTGACTATAAATGTTAATTTTTGAAAATTATTTGCATAACATTTTTTTATTACACCACTCTTGCACACTTTCGTTTTGAAAGATGAACAAGAGAAGCAAAATCTACCCCTATCTTTTTTCCCAATCAGGAAGGTTTAAAAAATTATGTAACAAAAATAGTGTACAAGAATTATTTTCTTTTTAAGAAATAGTATTTTCACATGCAAGCTAAAACTCTTGTGCACTATACACAGTAAAGACCAAACCGATGGCGTCGCCACTTGTGTAATAGCTAGGGTTCAAAAACTTGGTTCAAATACCCCTAAGCAAGCAAAAGTCAGTTCCCTCAAAATAAAATAAAATACCAATGTCATTTTGCAGTATAATTAATCAGAATATATAAAGCATCAGCAATCCTCCACGATTGAAGACAAATTTTTTTTTTTTTTTTATAACAAGACAAATTTAATTAACAGCATCTTTGAAAGAAAAACTTCTTCGTTTCTATGGTTCGGGGAAGATAGTTGATGAGGCCACTAGTAAATCTATGCCAACTATGAGACGCCTTGGAACACAGAGCACTAGTAAATTAAAAAGGAAAAGAATTCATGTACCAAAAAGAAGAAGAAATTATTTACTCTTTACTTTCGGCAAAAAAATTTTACTGCAATTTCCTGTAGTTATCAGCTCATTAATTAAAACAATAAACGAGAAAACTAAGGGGAAAATAAAATTCCAAATCGACAATATTTATGGACTAACCTCTTCGAAATACTATATAACACGGAATGGAAACTACAGAATAAAAGAAAATCACAATAATCACAAGGAAAAAAAAATACAATACATACATATTTGCGGTTGACCAAGAATTCCTCAGGAACTGGAATGTTGATCAACTACACATATCATCTGGTACGTCTTTAATTGAGTGGCGACAACTCCAGAGAAGGACCGATATTTCCCGTTGAACTGCCGCACCTATTGACATTGAATGTTGAAGAAACATTGGCATAATTCACTTTCAACCTTCACACCTTGACATACTTGTCAACATAACCCTGCAGAAAATGTAGAGAATGGAACGTTTGAGAAAGTAATTTACATCTTAACACTCATGTATATTATTATGCTTAAATCAGTCTGACTAGTAATTAAATATTTTTTCCTAAATTAATTCATACATAATGCTTTCCATCTCCACATACATTTTGAAAATTAAAAGAAAAAGTAATCCTTGCAAGTAAAAATCATTGTAAGAGAGACCGCAGGTGACGTTCAATAGCAGTATAAAATCTGTGTTACAGACAAGAAGACTTGAGTAGACACTAACAAGAAATTTGGATATAAGAGAGTAGCAGTTCAACATAGGAGCAACTTTTCAGTTAAAATCCCTAAAGGAAACACTTAAAATGCAATCAAAATCACAGCACTGGCCCTTTCAAACAAGTTACACTTTATTTTTATTTTATTTTTATTATTTTAGCACTTGGATACAATCACATACCAAGAGAGAAGGGAAGTTGCTGTGCTTCCAGACTCTTGTCATTTTCTCAGCACAGATATTTGTTTATAAAATGCAGAGCTTTAAATTAATTCTATGCACAGCTTCAGATAGGGATGCAAAAATATAAAACCAAACTCATAACAGTTACATGTCAGGGGGAAAACAAACATAAAGAATAAGTGATGACAAAATCAATTACCATCACAAGCTTAGTCAACTTTCGCTGTGACGAGTCAATGTATTGACTTATCTTCGCTTGAGACTTGGGCATACGGTGGCCTTTCATGGCTCCTGACACCTTATCTACAGTCTTTTTCACAATGGTTTTGAAAGCTACCTTACTCATATTTCCCTGCCTCCACGATGGTTTCAAAACCTCCTTCACAAAATTGGCAATGGAAACTTTGAACAATTTCATCGATCTGGAATCCTTGCTCTTCTTTCTTTTCCCTGGAGACTTGATCTGATTAATCTCAACTTCCTCTGTAGTCATGTTTGCAACATCCACATGATTGCTTAGGCTCTCATTTTCAACAGCACCCACTTCTGCATCTGCTGTCTCACCATATTCATCATCATCATTTTGAGAAGTGGTAGAGGCAACAGCACCAACCTCCTGATGCTCGTTTTTCTCTTCCTCATCCAAAGACATATACGAATTTTTGGGTCTTAGGCTGATGTTAGATTCACCTGTAGCTTCCTGCTTCTGATCATAATTAATTTTCTTGAGAGAAGAGGAAGATGGTTCAATGCTGTCAAAAAGTGGATCATATTGGTCACCACCAGACCGAGGTAAAATCTGACCAACAGCTCTAGCTGATTTTGGTGAGGATGCTGACTGTCTTGATCCAACAACACCAACACCTTCCCTGTTAATATGAGTATGGTTCAATCTAGGCGAATCATAATTCTTACCATGAATTAGGTCATTTTCTTGTCTAAACATACTTGAACTGAATTTGGAACTTAGTGGCTGCTCGAAGGTTGATGCATAAGGATTATAATGAGCAGAAATTCTTGATCCCCCAAAAGGCTGAAGAGATGTTGAATGATTGCTATCCAGAACGTCTGGTGGATATCTGGATACAGTCTTCCCAGGAAGACCCAAATTATCCTCAGATGTAGAATATTGAAAATTATAAATTGATTGCTGCTTCTGTGATAATTGATGAAGGTGGGAAGATGTCTTAAAATGACCTTCAGGAGGCAACTTGCCACCCAAAGAAGGCTGTAGTCTGTTCAAATCTGACTCCCATGAAAATTGCTTTGGTTGAGGATGCAGGCCGCCAATAGATGAGGAGCTTGAAAATTTTGAATCCTGCATTGAAAGCTGATTATAACAGTCTTCTCTACTGAGATTAGGGCCTGAAAGTGATTGACTTGCTGGGTTCCCCTGAGGGGGATGCTTCGGAGAGAAAGCTTCTGTAAGCATGAAAGTTCGTGAATGATCCTGCATTGGAGGGTATGCTTGATCCTGAAACTCAGAACTCTGAGAATGAGTCGGTAACTCAGGCTTAATGGAAGTCTGAGAAACAAACTCAGTTCTTGAATGCAATTGACTCTGATTAAATTCTGAAGAAATATATGAATTTGCAACTCCCGAATTCAAACTGGTACTATACACTGCTCGTGATAGTGGCGGCGGCGGTGGTGGAGGCGGCAAGGATGTCCAAGAGCTATTAGGTGGTACACTAAAGTGAGAACTTTGTGTGTGTAATGGAGCTGTGTAAGGTTCAAATTTTTCTCTGGTAGTGGACTGAAAAGGAAAAAATGCATTTTGTTGCATCACACCATAATGCCTTAACATTTGTGGCATATGCACAGTATTTTCACCCTGGGAATGTGAAACAACAGGAGGACCAGGCAACTGGTAAGTCTTATGCGGTAATTCCACTAAGGAACCACTATGTGGAGGTAAATCTTTAGAATCCTGAGAGTGCAATGAAGGCTGCTCTGATGAAAGACATTGACCAACAGAACACGTGGCTGACTGTAGCTGAGTTGATGGTAACATATATGGTAAAGGTTCACAACCAGAAACCTTACTAGCACTAGCAGAAATCATTGATCTTTTATCAGGTGATGAATCACTAACGAAGGATGCATTTATAAGCTGAGATGGGTAACCAGAAGAATGTTCTGAAACTCCAACAGAAACATTGGACTGTATTTGCTGGACAAACGAAGCAGTTTCTGAGTAAATGATATCTTTACCATCAGACGGTTTAAAAGCATCATCACCACTTAAAACTTTAGGGTGAACGCCATCATCCAAGCGTTGCTGATGAGAATCCACATCATTCTGAAACCTATCATTTTCATTGATTAAAGGCTTAGGCTCCTCTCTGACTACTAAGATTTCCTGCACTTCAGGAGCAACCTCTCTGAAACCCTCAGATTTAATTGGATCACTAATAACCGATTGACCATCAAGACCAAAGGGATTAGACACAACAGTAAGCCTCCCAGAATCTTCATTTCTCTGCACTACTTCCTGGCCAATTACATTCTGCCTAAGATCCACATCCTGACTTCTGACTCCATCATGCTCATAATCTGACACTTCAGAAGAAATATTCTTCATGCCTTCATTAATCCTAGAATTTTTTGCATGAGAATAAACTTCCAGATCATGTTTATTCCTATACCGCCTTGAAGTAGTATTCTTGTCAGATTCATGGTGAACGTACCTACAGGATGCTCCGCGATAGCACTTTCCTCGAAGGAAGTCGAAGCACTGACCCTTGTCCCTTTTCACATTCTCACCACCATAGTCACCTGATCGTCTTGAGATTGGAGATCTACTCCTGCTTCTACGATGCCGAGGGGACCGGCTGAAACAAACAAATTTTGAAATTTTCTAAATATAATATTCTTCAGAGAGATAATTGAAGTGATCAAGATCAAGACTTTAATTGTGAAGAAAGACAATTGATCTTCACTAACAGGAGGGAGATTTTAGGTTCAATTCATACAACAAAATAACCTAGAAAAGCATGGCTAGTGCATCCTACACAATTTTGTTTGGGGACAAGATTCAAGTTAACAGAAGTTAGTCAGGGCAACGCACAACAGCACTACATACCTGCGAGACCGGCTCCTTTTATCCTTTCTCCTTTGGGGACTCCTCCTCCTCCTCCTCCTACTCCTGTCTAGAGGAGATCGGCTGCGGCTCCAGCTTCTATCTCTTTTGTTAAGCCTCCTAGTCTGACGATAGCGAGAATCATCAGAGTCACTGTCTGTAGGACCTTCTCTGGGATGTCTTCCAAATTCATCTACTTTCAGAACATTTGGTTCAAACTTTGAGGTTTTCCTCTCATTTTCCTGTTCAGCATTACCACTCTTACTTACATTGTCAATGCCAGTACCACCTAACCCATCTTTTCCCTGGAAAGCTTCAAGCGAAGAAGCAACATTAACAGACAACTGATTTTCAAGGTTATGCTCAATACATCCATCACTGCTCCAACGTGAGACAGATCTTTTACGGGGTCCCTTAGACTCATTTACTAAATGTGGAGATACTTCTGAATCATTCTGCGATGTTTTGCTGAGCAGCACAAACCCCTTTTGAGCACTGGAGGGACTCTTAGATCCAATATCTGTCTCCAAATAACTCCCAGAATCTTTATGGGCAGCTGAAACACCAGTGACAACTCCTGCTGAGAGTGTCAAAACAATAGCATCTGCAGCACAGCCTTCATCTTCATTATCAGAAGTGTCATCAGAAGCATAATCTTGAAGAAGTCTTATTGGACTGCCACTCCTTATAAGATGCCCAGAATCTCTACTGGGATTAGTGGCTTCATTATGATCAGAAGTACCATTTTGTGTGGAATCATCATCTGGAGAAGCTGCAGATCTCTCCAAAACAGTGCCCAGGGGGAATTCAGCCACTTCAGTTGAGCCATTTACAGGACTACGGACGTTGGTAACTGATCTTGCAGATTGCATGAGCTCCAAATCAGATAAAAGCCCTGGTCCTGTATTTCATTAAAGAGTCTTATTAACACAAAAATAAAAAATTCTTTGAATCAAGGAATCTATCAGAGTTAGCTCTAGGATGGATTTGACATCAAATAACACAGTAGACACTTCAAATTATACCACTTCTGAATTATGATAAGGCTACCGCAGAAAGGAGATGAAAAGTAATCACTTCTGAATGTATTCAGCAAAAAAAGAGCAAATGATCCATCGACAGTGATCATGAACTGTCACTTGACACTTTTTTGCATGGACAATTATAAACATATCCTCTTTTTCAATAATAAAAGGAGGAATTTAGTGCTTCATCTCAAAATTATAGAAATTATTTAAAGAAAAGACAAATTAACAATAAAAAATTCCTATAGTGGATATTAAAGGAAAATTTGTAATATTTTTAATTTCTGTAGTCAGTGCATGCAATCTGTTAGAAAATGTGAGTGATCAATATTTATTATGTCTTTGGGAATTATAGTAGTTAATGTATCGCTGAGAAGATTAGAGTCATAGGAAATAGTTCAATATTTATTATCATTCTTGTAAATGTAAAATGTATTCTTTTATGAATATAAATATAAGAAAAGAGGGCGAGCTTGGAGCAGTGGTAAAGCTTTATGACTAAAAGGTCACGGGTTCGAATCTGAAAAACAACCTCTTTGCAAATATGCAAGGGTAAAGGCTGTGAACAAAGATTGTCTTCACCCTACCCTCGCTAGTCGGGGTTTAATAGAGAGTGGTTTTGGTATATAAATATCAAAGATACTGAGTGCTCTGCTCAAGCAATTCACAGAACTTCTATTTTTTTTTTTATATGTCTATTTCTATGTTTCTTAAGTCAATCCTCAGACAGTCAAATCAGATTCAGAGTTTAAAGTGAGAAAGTCATCAAACACTCTAAATTAAGTAATTAATGTACTCAGAACTGAAAATCAGTGCTGAATTCTAGTGATAAAACTTTTAGTGTAATAAGTATAAAGAACCAATTCAACCCAAAAGCTTAAGCTGGTGGATGAGGCTACGTTTATGGTTTTATATATCTCTAACAAGCACCCTCACATGAGAGCCCACTGGGCTTGAAGGGTGGACAATGCACAGGCCCACTTACTTGTGCTAAAAAATTCCACAAGAAAAAGTGGGGGGCGATGAGGATCAAACCCGGGACACGAAGGTCTGATACCATATAAAGAACCAATTCAACCCAAAAGCTTAAGCTGTTAGGTGAGGATCTTTTTAATGATTTTATATTTTACTCTAACACGACCCCTTACAAGAGAACTCATTGGGTTTGAAAGGTGGATGATGCATCTGGCCCAGCCTACCTGTGCTAAGAAATTTCACAAAGAAAATTGGGGGGCGGCGAGGATAGAACCCAGGACACCGAGGCTCTGATACCATGTAAAGAATCAATTCAACCCAAAAGCTTAAACTTGTGGGTGAGGCTACATTTATGGTTTTATATATCTCTAACAATAACAAATCACATGCACCCCTAATTTTGACAAATATCAATCATCACCATTAATACTTGATCGACTAAATATAAAAATGTCTGACCAATCAAAGGGAAGCTCAGATCATATAAGTAATTCCAAAATTAATCAAACATAAAGAGCTGTGGTTTTTCTGAAATGGAACCTTCATTTTGTTTGCTGCCTCCCACGGATCCAAAGCATGATGCACCACAGGATAAGATGCCCTCGGCATGGTCATTTTCTGTGGAATTTTCATTCACATTGAACACCTCAACGCGATCATGCTGCTGAGTAAGGGCTTCGATCGCATAATTTGACCCCTGGTCCTTGTCAGAAAGTGTGATATCATCTTAACCGACCCATAGAGAAATAAAAATAAAGCAGATCAGATTCAACATCTAAAATAAATTGTTATAAGTTTAAATAAGTATTTATCAGAATAAAATTATACAAAGCAACACTAATAAGCATAATGAGACTAGGTCTTGGCCACTCCTGTTCTCTCCTAGCCAATGTTCAGCCAACTATCATCCAAAAAAGCGCATAGCAACCAGTCCAATAAGAAAAACAAAAATAATAACCCACAGCCCCCCCCCCCCCCCACACTCTTTTTCTTTCCTATTCTGATGCATAAGCTGAGATTTTCACCCATAAGACCACTTATAGAGAAATTATATAATGTGAAAAGTCTGTCTTTACTCTTCAGAGTAAAAGTGCAAGCAGTGAAATCTGATTAAAAAAATATAAAAGTGGGTTCTCACATATCCATGGTTGGTTACCAGGTGCTTTTATTATATAAAACTCTAAACCATTGGCTTCTCCATCAATGGTTATCAACTCCACACTTTATTACCACAGCATAAAAAATGTTAGATTTCAACCATCATGAAAGCATTAACATATGAGAAACAGTATCATAAGATTCATAACATATTATGTCAGGATCATATAACAAAGAAAACTAACCTTCCATCTCCATGTCAGAATCAGCACTTCCAGTTGCCACATGCAGATTAAACTGTTTCCCTGAAGAGTCTACCACTAGAGGTGTTAACTGCGATTCACTATTCTTTCCATGCCATCTAGGTTCCAAATTACATTTCTTCTTCATCCAAAGGAAATATGCATTAGAGATTGCCGCTTCAGTTCCTGGGTCACCACCAAACAAAAATGCATATTCAGGATTCTGAAATTCATCTTGCCGAATCTTGTCTTCAATATCAGCACCATTCTCAGCAATAAGCTGACATAAAGCTTCAATCTTCTGCACATTCTTTTCTTCTGTTGGTCGGGGCGGAGGTGGGGGAAGATCCAAAGTCATACTTCTAGTTGACAGTAGCTCATCTCTATAAGCAACAGCAACTTCTCTACAACTTCCACTGTCCTGATTGGGATCAGAATTGTGTACAGGCGCAATACCAGATGGATAGGAAGCTACAATCCCATCAACTGTATCCACAGCCTTCAATTCAAAGCCAGAAACATTATGGGAGGATGCAGAAGTCATAGGAGGGATAGGAGGTGGTGGAGATGGTGGAACAGGTGGTGGCGAGGATGGCAGCGGTGGGGGAGTAATGGACGGCAGTTGGTAATTCGCAACAGTTGAATGTTGATACATTCCAGAAGGGGGTGGCAGGGGAGGAGGAGTATTATGGCTCCGCTGCAGATTCTGCGCATCATCGGGCCGTGGAGGAGGAGGTGGTGGATGGAAAGGAGGATTATATAAAATTTGTCCTTGGGAAGAAGATGGAGGAGGGGGTGGAGGAGGTGGCAATACTCTAGCTGGTGGCCGTGGAGCCCAAGATGTTTCCTGGTGAGAGTGGCCAAGAGGAGGAGGAGGTACCTGGGGTGGAATATGATGACCCTGGACCCCTAAATTTGAAGAATACTGTGAACTCCGTCCAAGGCTAGAGACCAGTTGCGGCACCATGGTGTTCCCAGGGTGCAATTGAGAAGGGATGGCATATGATTGTCCTGCATTTTGCATCACACTAGGTGGTACTTGAATGGGAAGATTCACAGGAACTGTGGAAGAACTGGTGGGAGGTCCATGTAAATAGGCTTGAGGAGGTGGTGGACCACCAATGTTAGGTGGCACAAATTGCTGGAAATGAGGGGGAGCCTGCTGATAACCTGGCGGCGGCACCGGCACAGGAGGGAAATGATGACCACCGCGATTCACTTGATTATACATCTATCAGTCGCAAAACTGATGTTCCACTAACACTTGCAATCAAAGCAACATCAAAAACACAATCTTCAATATTTTTGACACTCAATAGAGGATCCCCTGAACAAGAGCATAAACAATTTTGAGCAAAACAACAAGATACAAGCAGCAACAAATGCAACTTTTTGTGGCACTGTGATATGAGCTATAAAACTCAGCTATTCACATATAACATGATTCAATAAAAGAAACAATACCAAATTAAATGCATCTAACAAAAAATTGTAAAGATTTTCCTAACCGTTTTCTATAAACACACAAAACTGATTTATTTCCTTTTTTGTTCCAATCATCAACATTGCACAACCCGGAACGGCACCACCATGCACGATACGCTTCGTTTCAATTTTTCCATCAATATTATCCAATTTCGGAGGAACCCACCACAGTTTCAAACAAGCAGAACTCTCCAAACACGCACCACTTACCGCGTCGATGACGTGGAATCGCGACGGAGGAACGAAGAACCGAGATTCGGGAACGCTAGGGTTTTGGTGACGAGGGTTTTCGCAGTGACAAGAAAAAGCTTTGAGGAATATAAAGGCTAGGGAAGAAGGTGGTTTGTGATAAAGTACATTTGATTCAGCAAGTTGTTATTTCGCGCATGAGTGAGAAGAAGACCGAAAGAGTTTTTGGAAGTGGAAACAGATTAATGTGGCAAATCCAAATGGAAAGAGAAAAATCATCTTCGATTGCTTTGGAACCGTTACTGGTGTAAACAGCGTAAAAGTATTTGTCATTTTCAATACACCGTATATAAGATAATATCATTTAGTATTTAGTAATACACCGTATAATACTATGGGAAAGTGTTTGTGTTTGTTATTTTAAATGACATAAAGTTATGTTATTTTAAAAGAGAGATAGACACAGAATTTTTTTTATTTAAATTTTAAAATTAAAAAAAATATCCATTGTTTCTCTTCCATGATTTTTATTTTTCTATGTCTATCTCTATCTTAAAATGACATAACTTATATCATTTAAAATGACAAATACCAAACCCTAATACTATATAGGATAAAAATAAATACTTTTTAATAAAAATAAATATTTTTTAATAAAAATATCTTTTAATAAAGAATTTATATAATTCTTCAAAAAATATCATATGATATTAACTTTTATAAAAAATCTATTGATCAGTGTATCCAAAAACAAAATTACTTTTGTTATCAAAAAAAAAAAAAAAATTACTTTTTCTAAAAATAAAAAATATTTAATATTTTAAAATTTAATATATTGAAGAATTAATTTTTATTTTAATATTCAATATCTTGATATGTTTTATCACTTTTTTAGGTTTTATTTTTTTTATGTTACATAAAAAAAAATTATCTCTTACTCTCACTTCAATTTTTGTATTCTTTTTAAAAAAATAAAATAAAGTGGATACCACCATTTATTTTCTTTCCTAATTTTATAAAAAAAAGACTCCACTTTCTTTTTTTCCTAATTTTATAAAAAAGAAAAAATGTAAAAAAATACAAAAAAAAAAAAAAAAAACACATCAAAACGACGGTTTCAAAAGTTGTCATTTAATATCATAAACACTTAACCTAAGTAAAAACATATCAAAAGACATAATTTCATTAAAAATGTCATAATTTTGTGTTATTTAAAATGAAAAATATTTATATATATATATATATATATATATATATATATATATATATGGGCTTAACATTTCTGCAGCAGCCGTAGATAGTGTTATCTACAGCTGACACAGAAAAGTGGTCCGCACGGCTTTTTAAAAAAAAAAAAACTCAGGATCCGGTGCCGTATCCTAGGATCCGGGCGCGGATCCTTACTTGCTGTAGGTACAGCAGCTGCAGAAATCATTTTGCCTATATATATATATATAGGGAAGGTTATATTTAGAACCTATTTTCGTTTACAACTTCTTACAATTATATCTTAACCGTTGTTTTCCATCAATCAACGGTTCAGATTTTCCCAAATCAAATTTATTAATTAATTATTAATTCACAATAAATGACAACCGTTGATTGGCGGAAATCAACGGTTAAGATATGTTTGTAAGAGTTTGTAAACTATTTGGGTTATAAATATAACTCATCTCCTATATATAGGGCTTTACTTTTATCTTGCTGCTTGACATCTAGCAAATAAATTCGAGAAATCATAACAATAAAAAGGTGGGTGAAAGCATTAAATTCGGGGAATCATAAACATCCAACAAATAAATTCAGAGAATCATAACCCTACAAAGGTGGGTGAAATCATTAAATTTTAGAAATCATAACCAATCAACGGTTTAAGATTTATTGCTAGACGTCCAGCAACTAGAGAAATGACTTTACCACACACACACACACATGCGTGTGTGTATGGGAAACGAATCCACCTACCACCAAAAAAGCTTATCACTCTTACAATCAATTTAATCACCGTTAATTTTCGTCAATCTAACGGTTATAATTTATTGAAAATTACAAATATTTATTGTGTCACACTTATTAATTAATTATTAATTATAAATTTTAGATTGACGAAAATCAACGATATTTAAATTGGTTGTAAGAGTGGTAAACTTTTTTCGTGGTAAGTATATACAGCCACCATATATATATATGTATATATATATATATATATATATATATATATATATATATATATGTATATGTATATGGGGCAGGATATTCTTACACCGTGTAAGAGTTAGAAGTCTTACACTCAATCTTGACCATTGATCCACTTGTATCCAATGACTCTGGTTACTAAAAACTTTGAGCCCTTAGATATAAGTGGAATTAACGGAAAAGATTAAGAGTGTAACTTACACTGATGTAAAATGATCTTGACCTTATATATATATATATATATATATATATATATATATATATATATATATATATATATTCTTTTCTCATGTCATAGACATAACAAGTGGTGAGATCCACACTTGTTAAAACAAAATAAAAAAAGAATAGCACGGATTTCGATATCTTACAACATGAGAAAATAATTTCCTTATATATAGGATTTAAAGTTACTTTAGATTATTTTATCCAAAGATCACCAAAATGCACACATAAAAGTATGTGGAACCCTTTTTTTTTCTTTCTTCTTTTCACATGGGTCTACGTGGACCCACACACTTTTTTGTGTGTATTTATGTAAACATTAAATAAAGTTATTTAAAGTAAGTTTACAAACTTTAAACCCATATATATATATATATATATATATATATATATATATATATATAGAGAGAGAGGCAGGATCCGTTGACACCAGTGTTAATTTTCAAATTTGACACCTCATCTGAAAGCCGTTAGATAAAAAAAGATCAACGACTCTGATTTGTAAGCATGTGTCACCATTGATCTTTTTTTATCCAACGGCTCTCAGATGAGGTGTCAAACTTTAAATTTGACACCGGTCTCAAAAGATCCTACCTCATATATATATGTATATATATATATATATAAAGGGATAGATTATATATCTAATATTTTAAAGAAAACTCATTCTTTGGCAAGTATACTGACATGTCGCTTTCTCCTTCACTTTCAGTTTTGTGTTCACACTACAACATATTTAAAACCTTTTCTTCTTTGGTAAAATCAGTAAATAGAAAAATTAAAAAGAAAATCGAATTTGTAATTTAAATCAATGGAGAAGATTTGTTAACAATTGTTGATGGCAGACAGCTCATTTAATGTCCCTCTACTTTCTGCATTTGAATTTTCAAATTAATAATATCTCACTGCTTTTTGAAATATTGATTTTCAATTTTGAATTTGAATTTTTAATTTTTAATTTGAATTTTTAATTTTTAATTTGAATTTTAAAGGGTGGGAAAACATTTGAACAATTGGTTATGGCAAACAGCTCATTTACTATCCTATTTTTTTTATAGACATTATCTCATTACTTTCTACATGGGTAATTGTTAATCCTATTAATCCTTAAAAAAAATGAAAATATTTTGTAAAGAACGCAAATATTTTACGTATAAATAGGATATGTGGTATTGGGTTTTTTTCATTTGGTAATTAGCTTATGTGCACATGTTTCTTCTCTTATTTATCTTCTTCATCTTCTCAAATTTGGTAATTAGCTTATGTGCATATATTTCTTCTCTTATCTGTCTGTTTATCTTCTTCATCTTCTCAAATTGTTGTTCTATTACATGAACATGTAATATTTTTGGTTTTTTTTTTTGCAGTTTTTTTGTAGAACAAAACTGACTGGATGATTTTGAATCACTGGGATATGTGCTTTTGTACTTCCTCAGAGGAAGGTATGACATTATTCTTTATCTGTTTTTCTTCTATAAGTATTTTCTCCATAATCTGATATCATGAATGAATGAGATGATATAATAAAATGTCTTATCTTTTTTAAATGACTAAATATTTGACTTTAGCCTTCTTTGGAAATATCTACATGCTGCAACAAAGAAACAAAAGTATACAACGAGCAATGGCATAATGCGTGGATCATTCTGGCCTTTTGGGAAGTTCTCTCTTTTTCTCTCATGTGTGTTATCTGTGCTCTTTGAGCACCATCTCAAAATTCAACACGGTAAAAATTTCTCATTTATCTTAAAGTTCTTCTATATTCTATCTTTAATTTATGCAAGAGCAAGATGAGCTTTCCCTTCTATTCTTCCTATCCATATATAATTTGTTTCACATTGTTGTTGCTGCTATTTAATTTATGTTTGTTCTTGACAAATAATCTTACTGTTATTTAATATATAACAAACAAATTAAACTTTCATTCTTTTAATGTAAGAGTATAAATAACACAATTTCATATGTCATAAATGAAAACTAGAAACTATTACTTGGAGAATATGCACATCCTTGTATCCATGTTTCCCACTACTTTCTATACTAAAAATTATTAAGCTTATTAATAATATTAATTATTATGTCAATTGGTTGGAAAAATATTTAATATTGAAAATTTAAATTTTGAACTTGAAAAGTGAAAAAAGAGTTCAGCATTTAATCTTCTTGTAATGGGAAAAAAAAATATCTATATAAGAAATTTGAATTTAATATAAAATTATAGATTAAACAAAAAAATATTTAAAATTATAAAATATATGTAAAGTTGATAAAAAAAATAATTTAAAAAAAAATAAGAAATGACGAATTTATACTTAAAAAGAATATTTATTAAAATTTAAACTTAAAAAAGTAATACAAAAAGAGAAAAAAAAATTTCGTACCAATATTTTTTTAAAAAAATATTTAACATAAACATTTTGAATATATATGTATAACCAATTTAAAAAAAATATGAAAATCATAAATTAATACAAAAAAAATTTAAATTTTAAATTTAAATAAAAAAAATAAAACAACCTCTATCATTCTGTAAAAAAAAATTATAAAAATTTTATAACTATGAAAATGAAAATTTTAATTTAGTATATAAGAAAGAAATTAAAATTTCATTTTTTTATTGCAAAAAGATAATTAACACAATTTCCTATGTCGTAAATGAATAACTAAAAGCTATTAGATTACCAAAAAAAAAACTAAAAGCTATTACATGGAAAAAGTACACAACTTTCTATAGATGTTTTTCACTGCTTTTTGTATGAAAAATTATTAAGATTATCTTGTTTTTCCCCTTGTCTTACTGAGATTTCTTGTTTAGAGATCTCACC